ACATCCTGAAAGAGTATCAAATGAGATACATATGTGGAAAATCATTTGCTAATGTTTGCATTAAACCAGTATTTGGTAGATATCAGTTCTCACTTCTGCAGCACTTCTATCCCTCAACATATAGGAAAGTCAAGCTTCTCCACCATCACCATCATAAGCGTTAAAATCAACAAGCTGACAGTCAAAGCTAACAACTACAATTGTGTTTCAATTCTCTACCAACATCAAGAAATAGAATTGTGCTACCTACATGACCTTTTCTGATCAAAGCAGCTTGTCATTTTCAAGAAAATGTTTTGAAAGAAAAATTTCAAAAGTAGAGTAAATACCAATTTGACTTCTTAAAAGAACTATACAGAATTTAGCCATTCCTCAGAAACTCAAGGTCATAATTACACACACAAAATGGTAAATTTTAGAGCTAGTAGATGGCCTACCTAAAAAGTCACCTAATTCAAATTTTTCATTTTACAGATTAACAAACTGATGTCCCAAGAAGTTACACAATTTGAGCAAAGTCATCCAGTAGGAAGGTCAAGTGATTCCTGTTATACTATGTTGCCACATATATTATTGTACTATACTGAGTACCATTTAGCAAGAAAGAATTTAGAAGCAGTATCCCTTGTAATTCGAGAGAGTGTGGATTATCATATGCCTCAACTATTTTGTGCTTTGCCTTGATTATTTTTTGCTCTGACTATTCTGATCCTCCAGTATGCAGAAGCAGGGAAAGTTGATAAGGAACCTCTCAGGGCAAAAGTCCTGGTATGAGGATCTACACATGTGCCCTGATATGAGGATCTATACAGGCTGAAAACAGCATGTGCAGAAACAGCAATAGGTGTGATGGTGAGAGCAGCATAAACACTGAGACTTTCCTTGACTTTCTCCCTCTTTCCCATCCTTGGCTGGGGCCAGCTGGTGACGTATCCCCCACACACTTGTGCATTCCCCATTTGCCTGCTTGCTTTTTTATTTTCTGTCTCATAAATAAAAACGAGACTGTACTTGAAGCTGTGCAACAGCTTTGTGGTGTAGTCCCTCTAGGCTTCTCATTGTTCTGGACATGGACTCTTGAGTAATCCTTTTTTTTTTAATTTTTAATTATATATATATTTTTATATCATTTTTCATTTTTGCACAATGTATGCATTTTCATCTTGGTTATAGTTGCCATACAATTCCCACGCTCCTTGTTTTGATCTTACTCTTTTTTTCCCCCATGTGTGTCTCTGGTTTATAGTTGCCCACTGCCATAATGTAATGAGGCAGTAATTTCCCCCATTTGTTATTTTTGTTATCTCATTTTCCCCATAGTATTAAGACTTTCAAATCAAAAGTGATCTAGGTTTTATCCTCTACAGGAAAAAATTTAGGCTAGCCAACTCCACAGTCCATCATATGGAAAGAACTACAAAATAAAATATATGTAGTATACTTTAGTAAGGAAGGGGATGCAGACCGAATCTCTAATTGGTCTTCAGAAAGCAAGGATGAAATAAAAAGCCCATATTGGCTTAGGACCAGATTTGGGGATATGACTGCTAGAAGACCCAAACAGTTCCTGAAATAGGCAATAAATTGAATAGGGCAGGTACTATGTTCTTTTTTTTTTTTTTTTTTTTTTTTTTTGGTGGGACCTCGCCGGCGGCCGGGGAACAAACCGGCGCTGCAGAGGCTGCGGGCTGCTCAACCCCTGCACCACCAGGGGAGGCCCAGGGACTATGTTCTTAATAAATATGGGATGAAATCCTGAAAAATGAGTTTGTTACTATACTAAATGATCCCAGACATTGTGCTATTTGGTGTAGGATACAAGTTAAGTGTTTGTATTCTCTATCCTACAAAGATATGAACTGTCACTTATATTTCTGACACACCCCAAACATCGCAGAAGTTGATAGCACTCCCTAGACCTTCAAATACGAAAATTATATTATGGTCTAAACATACTAGAATTATTTATAAAGTAAGAATGAGTACGTTCTAAGTGAGAGCCTGAAGGATTGCCCTAGATATGAAGCATGTCAACATTATCACATAATTCTTTAAAAGTCCGCCTTACATGCTCTTCTAATGATTGTTAACTCTGCTGCAGATTGCAGATTACACAAATCCAGAGAATTCACCTCCAGTGAGGTGTTATGTTATTGGGACTATCTTAAACCTGAAATCAATGATATTTCCCTACAACCCATGAAATTATCATCCAAATGTCATTTTAAATGGTAAATGTCTTAAAAAGACTACTGTGTACCCAAATAGAAGGACATTTTCAAAAAACTTATCACATATCCATTTTTGTTTTCTCCCTTGAGACTCCAGTTGGCCCTTCTCCCTTACTCCACTTCTATTTTTTTAATCCACTGTTCAAGTATTTTAACTTTTTCCTCTGCCTTTGGTGGTCAAAAGTTATTTTCTACATTTTGGAATCACATGCAAAACTTTTTTTGCCCAAAAGCTCTTCAAAATATGATCTAAGGAAAACCTTAATTATGAAAAATGAAAAAAGAATACAAATTAAATAAAAGGAATTTAAAATATTGTCCACAGATGATTTAAACTCTCTTGATGACATTTTAACTAGAACTTAATTTGCTAAAGGACAAACTGCATTTCATAGTCTATTTCTTCACATTTCTAAAATATGCATGATTAATGCTGCTTGTCAGTAAAGTTGAATCAATCATCTTTCCTCTGATATATTCAAATTAGTACACTTAGTAAAGCAAATATATTTTAAAAGCTACTTTCATCACTATCTTAAAAGATACGTATTACAAACACATTAAAAATAATTCCAATTAAGTAATGATTGGAGTTACCAGAATCATTTATTTGGAAATAACTCATCTAATTTTCCACTTTGACATATCTGAAAACAGCTTCATATCAGAGCAAAGTGGTCAAAATGTGTTCACCATGAAGCTACACGAAAAATTCAACTTTAAGATTAATGTCAAATACGTTCTTCCCATACTATGAGAAACAGCATTATACTCACTGAAAGAAGCCTAAAATAAAAAATTTTCCAAATACACGAGGCGGGTTTCTGATGCAATTTTCTGATCACTTACAGTATCTTCCTACTTTTATAATAACAAGCACCAACAGCATGGATGTATTCCGTATTACGAACTAAACCAGAAGGCAAAATAGATAAGAATTAACAGCATTTAATAAGAACCGGCAATCATCAGTTAAAGTTTGAAAGCGGAAAAGAAAAAAAAAATCAATGAATCCAAGAAAATAAAAATTTAACAACCGAAGTTCTTAGGTACCAACAAGAAAGTCAAGACTATACAACACAAGTATGGTATAAGAACTATTGTAAAATGAAATATTGTTGTTTTTAGGATAGACTGGAGAGATTAAATAGTCAGTTGACTCCTTCCAGTTCTTATCTAACATATGTAATTAGTAGCTACAGCCAGATTATCTGCAGTCATGCAGTTTTCAGGTAGGAAATAAATATGGTCTTGCTGTTCTGAAAACAATTACCCAGGTACAACTAGAATAAGAGAATTTTTCACTCGACAACACCCGTAATGTTATCTAGTTTACTCTCTCCATCTTCAAAAACAAGGAAACTGAAGCTTAAAGAGTTAAGTGCCTGGCCTTAACAATTCACACAGTTAATGGTCAAGCAAGGTCCACAACCAAGTTTTCCCAATTATAGTAGTGCCAGTTAAATGAGGATCAGAACCACTGCTTCTCTTCTGGGATGGAATGGACCTTTGGGAAATTACAAGCAGTGTGATCTTGAGTAAACTACAAGCTTTCTATGGCCCCTTTTCCTCTTCTGTAAACTCTATAACGGGGTTGCTGTGAGGATTACATGCGGTTTGTAAAGTGCTTAGCACCATGATTAGCAAATAAGTTTCAAAAGCGGGTAACTATTACTTTTACTTCTGCCTGAGAAAAATGTCTGTTCTTACTGTTTGAGAAGACAACCAAATGAATTCATTTGAAAAGACAACAAACTGAACGGACAGAGTCTCATTCACTAGTTTGTCTGGCCTACTGTTCTGCAGAAAGGAGAAAACCTCACTCAACCACCTATTTCACCCCTTTAAGAAAAACAAAACATTGTTGCACTGTTAAAAAAACAAAACACTGCTAAATGTCTTCTGCAACGTGCTCTACGTTTAACTTGTCAACTGGAAATTTCAGGCGGGTAGGGGAAAGCCCGGTTCCACCCAAAACATGGAGGGAAAAAGATGCAAAAATAAGGTGGAAATAAGGTCACACACCTGAACTGGAAATCACAGAAGCTTGTCCTCAGCTTCATATAGGATGGATAGGCGGGTGGGAGAAAAAAAAATGCTCTTGCTACACCATAAAGCAGGAGTAATGGCTACCTCAACAAAACAGTTCTCTACGTTTCTCAACGCAATAAAATAGAATCCGCTTCCTCGTCTAGTAAATTAACACGCACACGGCCAACAACTGAGCATCTTTCTTGCAAAACTGAGGATTAAGCTGTATCTGGGCTACACTGCACCCCAGGATATTTTATTTACATATATAATATAAATATATAATACATCAAAATACGTATTATATATACATAAGTTCTATGAAATGGCGAGACAACATGATGGAAAGTATCACCTTGAAATTTAAAAAGAGGGGATCATAACGTTATGCTAAAGGCGTCTCCACTGATAAAATCCTGACCTTCATTCCTTGAAACTGCAAACCCACCTTCCTCTAAAGAAATTACATGAATCGCCCGCAGCAACCAACCTCAGCAATCAGCATCGACCAGATCGACCCCTACTCAAATGGCGAAAAGAACCGCGGGTCCATGCCCGGTGAGCCCCTCCCAGGTGCTGCCAAGTCCCCCGCTGACTTCTGACTACCTCACTTCCTTCCCGTCCTCCCTTCCACGGTCGACCCCCAGTATTTCTCGCCAACTCTCATCACTGACAGAGAAGGTAGGAAAGAGACAGAATTTGTACACTTTGTCCAGGGAGTACCAGAGTCACACATACCCGTCCCTATTGCGATCACATCAAACTCCGATGGGAGATTATCCGCCATCTTGACAGGAAAACGTGTCATGTGACTATCGCTTGTGGAAGAGAACAAGTTAGGTTCAGCTTCGGCAGAAGGCGGAAGGGAAAACGGTGCATTCTGGGTATTGTAGTTCTTCGGTGGTAAGTTCCTGTATTCCGCTACAATATTACACTTGAAATACTTAGGCTAATACAAAAAGTTCGGCTCGCTTTCCAGGCTGTAGAAGAGATGTGGGCTTTATTCCTATGGTTAGAATGAAGGTGGGAACACCTGGGTACTCTTTGATAACGTTGAAGCTAAAATAATTTGCATACTTTGAGGGAGGAGTGAAATTGAAAGGGCTTTACACTGTGAACAAAGGAAACTTTCCCCCAGCGTGTTTGTACTTTCGTTATGGCCTCTGAGGTATATCTTTTCACGCCAATACTTTGTAACTATGTTCCGTAGCTTTTTCCTCTCTACATCTTCCCAGTGAAAACCCACAAAAAAACAAATCCCTCGCCCCAGTTTCACCAGAATCAACCCCTCAACGTGTCTGCATTTGTTCCAGTTAGTCCACACAGCAACCTTGACAATATATATTTGCAAAATTAGCCTTTCTTTTTTTTTTTATAAATTTTATTGTTATATTCCCCATACAATTGCAGCCCCCCATTCTGACCCCAATCCCTCCCTCCGCCCCCGCCCCCTAAAAGTGTCTCTGGTTCATAGTTTTTGTTGATTTTGATTTTCACTTTCTTATAGTTGTTCATTTTCCTGGTCCCTTATTTAAGTTTTCTAGATTCCTGCTATGAGTGAGACCCTCCGGTATTTTTCTTTTTCTTTTTGGCTTATTTCGCTGAGCATGATCCCTTCCAGCGCCATCCATGTTGCTGCAAATTGCATGTGTTTATCTTTTTTGAATGCTGAGTAATATTCCATGGTATATATGTACCACATCTTCTTGATCCAGTCATCTATTTTTGGGCATTTGGGTTGTTTCCAAACCTTAGCTATTGTAAAACAGTGCTGCTATAAACATAGGGGTGCAGGTGCTCTTTGGAATTGATGTTTCTGTGTCCTTTGGGTAAATACCTAGGAGTGGAATTGCTGGATCATATGGAAGCTCTATGTTTAGTAGGTCCAGAAATCTCCACACAGCTTTCCACAGTGGTTGGACCAGTTTGCACTCCCACCAACAGTGCAGAAGAGTTCCTTTTTCTCCACACCCTCGCCAACATTTGTTGTTGCTAGTTTTTTTAATATGTGCCATTCTCACTGGTGTGAGATGGTATCTCATGGTAGTTTTGATTTGCATTTCCCTGATGACAAGTGATGTTGAACATTTTTTCATATGCCTGTTGGCCATTTGCATTTCCTCTTCAGAGAAGTTTCTTTTTAGCTCTTCTGCCCATTTTTCACTGGATTATTTTCTTTGTTGTTGCTGAGTCTCATCAGCTCTTTGCAGATTTTTGTGATCAGTCCTTTATCATTAGTGTTGGGTGCAAAAATGTTCTCCCAGTTGGTGGGGTTTCTCTTTGTTTTTGTTATTGTCTCTTTTGCTGTGCAGAAGCTCTTTAATTTGATGTAGTCCCAGCTGTTTATCTTTGCCTTCACTATCACTGCTTTGGGTGATGTGTCTGTAAAGATGTCTTTGATGTGCAAATCACGTAGTGTTTCGCCTATATTTCCTTCTATATATTTTATGGTTTCAGGTCTTATGTCTAGTTCTTTAATCCATTTTGAGTTGATTTTTGTGTATGGTGTGAGGTAGTGGTCAAGCTTCATTCTTTTGCATGTAGCGACCCAGTTTTCCCAGCACCATTTATTGAACAAACTTTCTTTGCTCCAATGCATAGTCTTTGCTCCTTTGTCAAAGATTAGTTGACCATAAATCTGTGGGTTTATTTCTGGATTTCTATTCGATTCCATTGGTCTGTATGTCTGTTCTTGTTCCAATACCATGCAGTTTTGATGATTATGGCTTTGTAGTATAGTTTGAAGTCTGGGAGTGTGATGCCTCCATTCCTTCTTTTTTTTTTCAGGAGAGCTTTGGCTATTCGGGTTTTTTGTGATTCCATATGAATTTCATCAATAATTGTTCTATTTCTTTGAAGAATGACATTGAAATTTTGATTGGAATAGCATTGAATCGGTATATTGCTTTTGGAAGGATGGCCAAAATTAGCCTTTCTTTACTTTACAGGATGGGAAAAAGATGCAAACATAGTAGATGCTTGGTAAACACTTAATGATTCTGAATCTGGTTTTCTTTTTATTTTTAAAGATTTATTTATACAAGAAATGAGGTACAGACCAGAGGCGGCGGAGTGTGAGAGAACTCACCACAGACAGAGGGGGGAACAAAACAGGCGAACTCACCCAAGGCACTGCTGAGGGTGCACAGATTCCTATTGATGGAACTGTTGAGAGTGAAAAACTTTCCTACAAAGGACTAAATAGACCTGGAAATACACCTGACATTTACTAAGGTTTCTTTGACATAATACTGGAAATTTTTTTATGCATTCTGTCCTGAATCCACGAAGTTTTTGTTTTGTTTTGTTTTGTTTTGAGTAACCAGGATCTGCATCAAGGTTGCAATTTTTTTTCCAGCAAAGCTAACTTGTCACATTTTCTCTCCCCTTGATACCAACACAGCATACAAATAGTGGTAGTAATTTTTGCTACTTATTTCAGAGTCTGTTTTTGCATAACTTCCATAGGGATTTTGTCTGTTTTAACAAAAAATTGGACATAAGTTTGATTGTGTGGCTTTGTGTGGAGTTCTTCCAAAAAGTTAAAAAAGAGCTGAACCAAAAAGAGGAGAACCTGTTTGCCTTGTTTGTAGGGTTCCAGAGACCTCCAAAGAAGGTGAGGAAGCTTGCCTCCATTGGCAGGACTGGACAACCCGGCCAACGAAAATGCCCTGGAACCCTCGAGAAGAGGAAAGCCCAGGTGGAGTCTGATGAGACCAACTTTATACCTGAAGCATACATCAACTGGATGCCACCAGTACGCTCTGATCCTGTATGGAGTATTTCAACAAAGCCAGCTAAAAAATTGCTGTTAGTTATTTCTGCCCTGTGATTTTATGCAAAAATAGGAAAAATGGTTAAAAAGTAGATTTAGTTTGCAAACTTTTGCTATGCTGTTAAAGTTTGGGATCAAGGTTGAGAGAATTCGTTTTTGCATAAGTTGAACCATTTTAACATTCTTTCCCTGTGATTTTGATATATTTGCTGTCTTGTTTTAGCCAATGCTCCAAATTTTTTCTTTTGGCTTGGATAATGGACTATTTTTAAGTAATGAAACTCATACTGGACATTCATGGACAATGCTGCTGACTAATTGTTGCTTCTCTTACACACATTGTAACCCTGAAAAAAGACTGTCTCCTAAGATTACACCATGAGATCTGTGCCACCATAGATATGGTGGAATAAAAATTAAAAGGGGGGATTGCAACAGGGTGGTCCCCTGGAAAGGGGGAGGTTTCCTGCCCCACCCAAGGGAGGGTGGAGCTGAGCAGGAAGAGGAGAAGCTGCAGAAGAGACTGAGGAAGGAAGCAGGATGGAGCCAGGAGACATGGAGGAGGCGCGTGGAGCCTAGAGACACGTGAAGAAACTGCGCTTGTCTTTTGGTCGTGGACTGGGTGACACAGATGTGGGTGAGACCCGTGGAGAGGTGACCATGGCAGCTTTTATATTGATGTTGATTTTGCTCTTTTCCTTCCGGGCTTGTTTGGTTGTTTCTGACTCTTTTCTGTGGGTCCCCACTGGAAGATGCTTTAGACTTGTGGCAGGCTTTGGGGCCTTGCTCTCGGCCAATCCCATATGGATGGACTTTTACCCACGAGGGGACGGGTAACTTTGGGTGCTTCATTTAGAAACTAGACTCTTTGCCTTACCTGTATTGTTCCCTAGTTTTATTAAAGATCCTTCCCATTAAAGTCTCATATGTTTTGTGTTGATGCGGCGGATGGCAGAACCCATTTAGAATAGGCAGGTTTGCGGGGCTTGGGCTGCCCCTTTCCCTGCCCTATAACAAGGGGAGCAGCAGGCGAGACAGAAGAAGTCTGCCCCGCCATGTTGGTTTCTCCCTGGAGCCGGGAATAGAAACCGCGATGCAGAGGCTGCGAACAGCTTCGCACCGCGGTGCTCAACCTGCTGTGCCACCGTGGAGGCCCTGAATCTGGTTTTCTATATGTTTAAAAGAAGAGTTTGTGTAAGATTCTCTTAATGAGAACCACAGAAATGATCAAGGTAAATAAATGGTCTTTATATTAAAATGATTGTTATCTGATGAAGGGATTTAGGTTGCCTGTGTGTAGGGTAAGATAAAAAATTATCAGGCTTTTCTGCCCTCTCGCCATTGTGATTGATGATGGAGCCCTGCAGTCCTGAATACATGCCTGATGGCGGGCACCTGGAGTAGGGTGTGGACATGCAAAGTGGGTACACCTGGGCTGAGAGACTAGGCTTATAAGGGCAGCGTCAAGGAGATGCCAGAAGACGCAGAGAGAACCACCAGCAGAGAGTCAGAGACCACCAGAGAATTCCAGAGAGCCCAGACAGCATGAAGACTTGCTGGGTGCTGGGAGGTCCGCCAGCTTCACGGTCCCCCAGCACACCTGCCTGCTGTGTACATGGTAAATCCCAATAAAAGCCTGAAAAGCCACCGAGGGCTCCAGGACTCCTCCCTTACCCCGTCTGCTTGGGTCATAGAGAACCTGCCCTGTGTCATTCCCGCCCCTTACACTGTGCCAAGCAGATAACTTAGCTTTCCTAAGTATGCAAGGTCTGCCACCTCCCATGCCCCCATTATTTAAAATGCTTTGTGTCTGACAATAAAGCAAACAGGAGAGAGATGGTGCTTAGGAGTGAAGCGAGTACGTTTTTGATCCCGGAAATTCATTGTGTTATCTTACAAGAGTTTCCAAATAATTGAGCTAAGGGTGCAGTAGTAGACCTCTTACACCACTTCTCTGGTTTCCCAGTGGCACTGTTCTTCCTTCAGTATGGAATAATCATCCCATTCTCTAACATTTATCCCCAA